AGGGGAGACCTTGCCTTGGAGGTGGTGGGAATGAGGGGTGAATTGGGGGGGGGGGGGAGGCTAGGGAGTAGAAGGAGGGAGGACAAGGGAATCTTTGGCTGATATGTAAAATTAAATTAATTATAAAATAAAAATATTTAAAAAAAATCCTTCTCCAGCATTCATTTAGTGAATGGCTCCACTTGCTTCTTAGACATTTCTTCCCTAAGAGCCACAGTTATAGCTCCTGCTTCTTCTGGAACTTTCTCCCCTCTGATGTCCCATAATTCACCTAACTTCAGTGAATAAAACGAACACATCTACTGAATGTTCTAGACCCGCTTTTCCCACCATGTGTAGCATTTAGGGAGTGTTGCCATCATTAGCTAAGTTGCCAACTCATTGAAGTAAGTCTTCCCTGTCCTTCACCCTTAACGTGTACAATTGGCTTAATTATCCCCTTACCTGTTCAACCATGCACATCTGTGCACACTACGAGTACACCGTTCATTGAATTACTCTACACTAACATCACACACTCAAGTGTATTTTACTTATGTTACTTTTCTATGGACTTGAGCATCATAAAAGACCCACTGGATAGTCATTTTCTTGTGGTCCACATGTACTGGTGTGCTTGGCAGAGAGAGTCACAGGACACCTTTTCTGTGATTTTTAATGAACTGTACTTTTGGTTTCCTACAGTTAAAACATGCAAATTCAGGATAGATATGTATTGTATAGACTTACACATGAGAGGTGATGGATTTTAATTCAATGCCATATAATGAGAATGTATTTCTAATCATTTCATTTCACTTATTCAACTTCTCTGCCCTAACCCTCAGCACTAACAGAATATGTTATGCCTATTCAGGCCAGAATCACAGCCATTCAGACTTACTTCTTTATCAAATGTATTTTCCAAGAGTCCTGTCACACAAACCTGACTCTGCAATAAACATATTCTGTGTTAAACTCTCCTGCTTTAAATAGAAAATCTGTGTGATATTTAAAAATAAGTGTGCTTGTTAATTTTTAAAAACCCCATAACAGGTTAGTTTTCAATTTGAAGAAGAAGAAAAAAGATACATATAAAGAAACAAAGAAAAAGGAGAAATAAAGAAAGAAGGTGAATATAGGGTCATGGAAATATTCAAGCAAGCATAGTTTGGCACACAAAAATGAAATGTACTTTAAAAGCTCTCCAGGACCCACCTGCGAGCAGATGTCAAGAAATGTAAAAGGGGGCATACTTTCCTCTGGCAGATTTATTTTTCTAATGGAGAACTGTGGGCATAATGATGACAAATAGCTTTGGATTCACAATGATACATGGATACATAATGACTTCACTTTTAAATTGAAAATCCTGGGTTTTAAATGGTTCCTGCCATATATATATATATATGTATGTATGTATGTATATATAATGTAAAGTTTATGAATTTGAATTACCACACCAAATAACAGTGAATGCAAAACCCATTTATATATCTCAAAATTACATTTTGGATGGACAATTAGCAGTCATTTTTTAAATATATATACTCTTATTTAAAACAGTTTTTAAATTTAAATATGTTTTGATCATCTTCTTCCCCTCCCCCAAGTCCTTCCAAATCCTTTCCCCTCCCTACCAACTCAACTTTAAGTTGTTTTTTAAGAAACAAACAAAAAATATAACCCCCAAAACAAACACACAAAACAAAACAAAACAACAAAATAAAACACCACCCCAATACAACAAACCCTGCAAAACAAACAAAACAAAACTAATACAAAAAAAAAAAAAACAAAGAAGAGAAAAACAAAACAAAACACCAAACTGTAACCAAATAAAAACACACATAGAACTGTGGAATCCATTATGTGTTGTTCAACTACTCCTGAACATGAGGCCTGCCCTGGAGTGGTTGATATACACAGTGTCACTTCATTAGCGAATGTTTATTTTCCCTCTCCTAACAGAAACAGATGACAGTTCATTTGTCAACCTTTACCCTAGCAGCAAGGTTCTCAGTTATTCATTTTTTAATATAACAAAGTAAAATACAATAAGATGACACAAAAACTATTATATCAAAGTTGGACAAGACAAACCAACAGAAGGAAAAGAGCCCAAGAAAAGGCACAAGAATCAGAGACTTGCTCATTTATACACTGAGAATCCTCATCATAAGAACACTAAACTGGAAGCCATAATATGAACACAGAGCACCTGGTGCAGACCTGTGCAATCCTTATACTTTGCTCTTCTTTATTTAGAAGGCCTTGTTTTCTCCGTGTCCTCCATCCTTTCTTGCTGTGGGATGTTCTGTATGGCAAATGTGTTGCTCTGATTGGTTAGTAAATAAAACACTGATTGGCCAGTAGTCAGGCAGGAGGAAGTATAGGCAGGAAAAGGAGGAGAAGAATTCTGGGAAGTAGAAGGCTGAGTCAGAGACACTGCCAGCCGCCGCCATGATAAACAGCATGTGAAGATGCCGGTAAGCCACGAGCCATGTGGCAAGGTATAGATTTATAGATTTTCCATACAGTTTGTAAGCAATATAAGTCTCTCTGTGTTTACTCGGTTGGGTCTGAGTGGCTGTGGGACTGGCGGGTGAGGGAGATTTGTCCTGACTGTGGGCCAGGCAGGAAAACTCTAGCTACACTTTCTGGCTCTTATGCTCTTTCCTTCTCCTCTTCTGCAGAGTTCTCTGAGCTCTGAGCAGAGAGATTTGACGGAAACATCTCATTTAGGGCTGAATGTCCCAAGGTCTCTCACTCTCTATATAATATCCGGCTGTGGGTTTCTGTATTTGTTCCTGCTGGCTGCATGAGAAAGCTTCTCTGATGATGCTAAACAAGGCACTGATTTATAAGTATAGAAATTATGTTTTTGAAAAGCTCTGTCAAGAATGGACCTATGGACATGTATTAAGTATTTTTGAGAGCTTTGCTCTGAGTAAGACAAAAGCCATTGTATATATTTAGAAAAGATGATGACTGTGTGGAATATTGAGTAAGGGAAAAAAGACTGGATGTTTAATAGTTTAGAGATATAGCATCAGATAGTTTAATGCACATATGCAGTGTGTTTATACAGAGGTGGTCATTATTTACTGTGATTTGGCCTATATAATTTCAATTTTATTTATTTAAATAATGGGCAAGTGACACAGTCCGTAGAAACAAAACACTAAGTACAGAATCCAGACTTTTTCCTGAAAGAGCAATGCTCAGTATTCAACTAGCAGTATTGCTGTAAACCTTGTCCTCACAGACTGAGCAACAGCCAAAATCTATGCACAGTGTTTCCTTATCTTGATGTATTCAATACCTTATGTGAGATACTCAACATACTACAAAAGACACTGTGATAAAAATTGGTCTATGTAGCTTGTAAATAAACATATATGTTCTCTTCATATTTAATGTAGACTAAGCTATAATGTTCATAGGGTATATGAAGTAAATTCATTTCTTACTTGTGATAGTAAAAATAATCACCGGTACATAAACAATTCTCTCTGTACTGTATGTGTGTACCCATGAATATGTGTATATTCCTATGTAGACCTGCTAATAGGGCTTATATGGCTTGTGATTTAGTCAAATATATTTTCTTTGAAAAGTGAAACGATATTAACATTGATATCATCTGTGTTTTTTTCTAAAATTTGTATATCAAGGAAATAAATCTTTATTTTCTCCTCTGACCTTTACAGGAATAAAAAGCAAGAGAGAAATCCTACCATTATTTTTTCTGAATCATTCACTTTTGCCTTGTGAGCCTCAATTTCTTCATGGGTTCAATGCTGAGTACCAAAAGAAAAAACACAGAGGTCTCTGACGGGAAACCTCAACTTTGACATTTACTTGTATGACCCCACAGAAGCTATTTAACCTTTCTGTATTGCATTGCTTCAGAAAGAAAACAAAACAATCAAATAAATGTCTCCCTGGAATGTGATTGCAATGCTTGGACTAAAACTTAGGCTGGAGATAGATAATCAATAATGATTAGTTTTCCCTCCCTGCCCCTGATGATAACCTTTCCTTTTTTTGTAACTACATTTACTTCAAGCACATCAATTCATTAAGAGAAAGTTTCATGCAGGGATACAGAAGGATGAGATGCTGCTAATACATAAGTATACTGGTACAGCTTTTAAAAAGGGTTCTAGCAATATGGTTTCCTAAAATGTTCATCATGCTTTAACTTAAATTTATAATCTTGGTCCATGTCCTTCTCAAAGTCACTGATAACCGAATCCAATATAGACATCAAATATTATTTTATTACTATGCCTGCTCTAGAGAAATGATCTAATGTTATTAAAAGATGAGCAAAACCCACCAGACATTATTTCTACCACAGTAATTTAAAAGCATCTTGAAACTCAAGGCCACTGAAGAATTTACGCAAGTTCCTCTAATGCAAAATATTTCTAACACTCTATTTCAAAAATTGCATATGGGATTTCTTTTACTCTCAGGACCAGAATTTATGGCTTATAAAAATAAATATGTAGAAAAGGAATACCAATTAATAATAATAAAATAATTTAATTAATATATAATTTACATTCATTTATTTTAAAACCTTACAGAACTCAATTCAGAGCTACCTCTGTGTACTTTATAAGGTCTAAAAACTGTTCTATGTGCCCATGAACTTCTTATCCAGGTCATATCAAAAACCTGATATATTTTTTAATCTCTGGAGTAAAAAAAAAAAAAAAAACCATCACTGATTTAACATTTTAAAAAAGAAACCTGGAAAATGATTATAATGACTGGGCTAAAACTTAGGGCAGAGATAGATAATAATGATTAGTTTCCTTTTTCTCTGCCCCAATGAGACTCTCTCCTTTTTTTATGTGGCTACATTTACATTACATGCAGTTTATACTAACTGTGGCCAAATCTGTCCTATGCTGCATTCATCTGGGGGATGGTGGTGAGCAGCACCATGGCTGCTCTGTGCCCAGCGTCTTCTGTGTGCAACGGTGGAAGTGACAGGCACTACTCACGGCTGACATGATGAGCTCGCCCCCCAGGTTTTGGATCTCAGCTTTAACTTGGCTGCAGATTTTCAGCTGGTGGGAGTAGAATTTAATCTGTTCCAGATAAGCCAGCAAGTCCTGTTTGCAAGGTGGATCTGGACACTGCAAGTACATCAAAGATAAAAACGGAAAGAGCAAAATAAAAAAGAGGTACATCAGAGTGGGGAACACACACACACCGTGGATACCTTAGCAATTTTCCACAAGCCCGTCCGTTTCTTATGCCAGCCCAGGTACAATCCCATACACTTCATTAGAAAGCGCCTGTTAACACAGCTTATGTATTCTTCAGATGTAGTCACTGAGTTTAGGCAAAGTACTTGTGATAGGAATTTACAGATACAAAGAAATACATAAAGTTCTGCCTTCAACTTATGACAAGTTTAGCAGTCTTCAGATTATGTCTTCAGGTAGACATGAAGAAATAGTAACATACAATTATCTCATCACTACAAGAATATTCCATGAAATGCATAGGTTTTTTGCTGTCTTCCCTGTGATATTTGTGTGAGGATATCAAATACACAACAAAGCATATTGTGCCGTATTATTTTTCAGCTTTCAATGCTCTTAGCTGGTGCAGATAAAGAAAATTATTTACACCTGAGATGATATCTGCATATGCAATGCAGACAACTCGCATGTTTTAAGGAGGTAGCAAATCTCTTTTAAAAAAAAACAGTCCCCCTTGGTGGTTAATTTTCTATAAGGAACTGTAAGGAAATAGTTCGAAGCTTCACTATAACATGGCAAAAGTCTCATGGTAAAGGTGAGTCTTGCTGCTCTCTCCCCCATGAAGTTAGAGTCTTAAGAAGTATGTTCCTCACCTTAATTCTATTTTTAATAAGAACATAGATATGCAAACAAAAACTCATAACAAAAATGCATTGCTACAGCACTTAAAATATCAAAAATTGGAAATAACACAAAATAGTATGAAGAGGAAATGTGAATGTCTAAGTACTGTGACACTGTATCATCTCAATGTATTTTCAGGGGCTGCAGAGAAGACTTACTGGTTAAGAGAGCTTGCTGCTCTTGCAGAGAATTCAAACAAGTTCAGGTCCTAGAACCTATGCCAGGCAGCTCATAACAACTCTACCTCCAGTTTGAGGGGACATGGCACCTTCTTCCTGTTTCCACAGGTACCCACATTTTATGTATGGCATTCACTTACACAAACAAATACATATGCATAAATAAAATAACACACAATAAAATATTTAAAATGTTTTCAAATGATGTGGGAGAATAATGATCAATGACAGAAAGTTAAAAATTGAATTTAAAATTGCATGCATCATTTCAACTAAGTTGGATCAAGTGTGTAGATTTAAAAACATACTGAAAAGGAAGTCTATGAAAATGATAATGGCTATAATATAGTTAGTTTTCTTCACTTTATTCATATATTACATTTGTATTGAAATAAGTGCACATTATTTTCATAATTATACAATGATATTTAAAATCTTTGAATTATGTAAGTTTAGTTTATAATTATATAAATTAAAAAGTAGGATGAACAGCCACCAGTGAGATAGTTCAATAATAAGGATTCTTGCCACCAAATCTGATGACCAGAGTTCAATTCCTAGAATACACAAGGTAGAAGAACAGATCAGACTCCTGTAAGTCATCCTCTGACCCCCATGTGTACATTGTGGCATGTGAGCCCTGCGCACCTCTTATAAATAAATAAATGTAAAAATGTAAGATGACAGACCAGAAAAATCTCTCATGAATATTTGCATTCATCTATTCTAATCATCTTCCAGTATCTACTAAGGAAAGGTTCCAGGACATATATAGATACCAAAATCCAAAATTGCACAGTTCATCTTAAATAAAATGGCAAAGTATTTGTGCATAACCGAAACACATCCTTCCGGTAAACTATATCTAAATATTTAAATATATCTATATTGCATATAAATAATTAATAAATTTAAACAGTATATAAATAGTTGGAGTATTGTATTGCTTGGGAAATAATGGCATTACAAGAAAGACAGTATATGCACAGTACACATATATCATCAAATGACCACCTATATCAAACTCAATTGGAGGTGCCTGAATTGGTGGATACATAACTCATATGTATAGAGGAATAACTAATTTGTAACTAGAATGAGGCAAGGTTAGGAAATTCCTGAGACGTTTGTTCTACTTCACATTGTCAAGTCCTTTGGTCTACATATCTCCAAGTCAGGCGTACAAGATGAGGACGTGGGAACATGCACTCAAAGTTCATAATGATCAATAAAGGGAGCAAATATATTCCTCTGCAGAAACATTTCCACCTGCTAGACAGAAATAGACACACACAAAGCTTGGCGGCTACATGATCTACGGCCAGAAGGGACATTAGACATGATGGAAAAAACGAGTTAGATAAATGTTATTTTTGTTTTGAATGCGGAATTAACAGTGATCTGTCACCCTTTTAATGACGATTAAATTGTAATTCAGTAAAAAGAAACAAGAAAGTGCAAAAGGCAGAAGAGAAAGAGAAGACAAAAGAAAAACAGAAAGCAGAGGAGAGGCGGCAGCTAATTTCCATAGTTTTTCCTGCCTGCAGGATGCTACTGTAAATAATTTAAGCATGTAATCGCATTCAGTGCTCAACCTCTGAGACACAGGTATCTTCCTCCGATGAAAAAAAGGTGCACCCCCAATTGTTTCATCCTGACAGAAAGTGTGTGTTCACTCAGTGCTTCCTCCATGTGAGGCACCACACCTGGTCTTTCAAAAGCGTGAAGCGCAGCCCTTCAGTCAGATCTAGATAATGCCATTTCACAAACTAAACTTCAAAAACAGTAAATATGAGGGTTTTGTTTCCTCTGCTTCATTCACATGGATGAAAATCATTTCTCCCTCACAGCAGTCCTTCAAAACACTTTTGATTTTGCTTATTGAGGAACTTACTCTTTATTCTTTACTCTTATGGTCAGATCCAATGGCAGTCCTGGCATAGATAGTGTTTCATCTGTCACATATTATTCCCTGTATAACAGAAGAGTTATACAGGGAATGCATAAATCCCTGTATTATCCATGGATCCACTATAACCCTCAATCAATAAATGCAGAAACAGAGGCACAGAGGGGCAGTTTCCTTGCCAACTAATAGGTAGCAGAGATGAAATTAAAGGAAGATGGAGACTCCATCCTTACCTATGTGGCCAGAAATAATGTTGCTCTTCTTACAGCCATCACTATACATGGTAAGTACTAAACTGCCACTTGATTTCTAAATGGGCTTCTTAAGTTGGCCTTTTATTTTAAATTACAAATTTGATTAGCATGGATTTGCTCTTTCAGGTTTAGCAAACTCCTGATGAAATTTACCCTGTAACTACTGATTTGATTCTTTTTTTAATTGAGAATAGATTTTTATACAATATATTTTAATTATGGTTGCCCTCCTCTAACTTCTCCCGGATCCTCCCCACATCACTACCAACCTATATCTGCACCCTTTCTTGCTTTATCTCACCGGGACACAAGGAGGCCTCTAAAAGTGTCCTCCCAGATCCTTTCCAAACCCCACCCACTCAAATTTATAACCTTTCTCTCTCTCTTTCTCAATAGGAGACAGGCACCCAAAACTAATGAAAGAAAATAATATAAAAAACAAAGAAAGCAGAACAGGGCAAAAGAAACAACAACAACAAAAAGAGCCAAGAAAAAAACTGAAGAAACACCTACTGAGACACACACACACACACACACACACACATACACGCGCACACACATACATACACACACATACACAACACACACATACACACACATATATACACACACATACTCAACACACACATACACACATACACACACACACACACACACACACACACACACACACACACACACACATTTGCAAACACAGACAACCCACAAAAAAGCGAACTTGGGAACCATAATACAAATGAAAAATTCTTTAAGGTTAAAAAAAAAAGTCCTCTCCCTGAGAATGGGAAAGAGAAGAGATCACCTGTGTGGACTGTGGGCAGGTGGGGAGGGGAACATGAGTGATCAGGTTGGGGGTCACAGAGAGAGAGAGAGAGAGTACTGAGAGAGACTACTAGAAAGGGGGGAATTTGGGGATCAGGTAAAAACCTGGTGCAAGGGAATCTCCCAGTAATCTCCAAGTATGACCCCAGCTGAGTCTCCTAGCAACAGTGGATGTACACCCTGAACTGGCCATCTCCTTTGACCAGGTAAGACTTCAAGTGGAGGGAGGGAGTGGGAAACCAACCCAGCCACATAACCTTTGACCCACAGTCTGTCCTATCTATGGGATGTGCTGGGGTAAGGGTGGACTATAGATTGAGGGAATGGCCAAACAATGACTGGTCTAGCCTAATACCCATGCCAGGAGAGTAAGCTCATGCCTGACACTTCCAGGAGCACCAGGACCCACAGGCTGTGAGATCCAGAGACCTAGGATAGACACAAACACAACAGGAGGACAAAAAAAAGTCAATGTGATGATGTCTAAAGATATTCTGCTATACTCATAGATTGGTGCCTAACCCAGTTGTCATCAGAGAGGTTTCTTCCAGCAACTGGTGTGAACAGATGCAGACCCCACACCTACACATTTGGTAGAGCTCAGGGAATCCTACAGAAGAGGAGGATAAAGGATTGTAGGAGACATAGGGGTCAAGGACACCACAAGAAAACCCACAGAATCAACTAACCTGGGCTCAAAGGGGCTCACAGAAATTGAACCAACAACCAGGGAGCCTCCGTGGTACTGACCTATGTGGGGTCTTGCCCCACTGGGAACTTGTGTCACCTCTGAAGACGTGACCTGGAACCAAGGAAAGGTAAGCGTGCCCATTTCCCTGCCTTCCTGCTGTGGGATGTTCTGTATGTCAAATGTGTTGCTGATTGGTCAATAAATAAATCACTGATTGGCCAGTGGCCAGGCAGGAAGTATAGGTGGGACAAGGAGGAGAATAAAGCTGGGAAGTGGAAGGCTGAGTCAGAGACACTGCCAGCTGCCACGATGAGAAACAGCATGTGAAGATGCCGGTAAGCCACAAGCCATGTGGCAAGGTATAGATTTATAGAAATGGATTAATTTAA